CATCATTCACAGAAGAGATCTCAACACCACACCTACATCCATCATTTGCTGTGAAGAGATCTCAACACCACACCTACATCCATCATTCGCTGTGAAGAGATCTCAACACCACACCTACATCCATCATTCACTGTGAAGAGATCTCAACACCACACCTACATCCATCATTCGCTGTGAAGAGATCTCAACACCACACCTACATCCATCATTCGGCTGTGAAGAGATCTCAACACCACCTACATCCATCATGTGAAGAGATCTCAACACCACACCTACATCCATCATTCACTGTGAAGAGATCTCAACACCACACCTACATCCATCATTTGCTGTAAAGAGATCTCAACACCACACCTACATCCATCATTTGCTGTGAAGAGAGATCTCAACACCACACCTACATCCATCATTTTCTGTGAAGAGATCTCAACACCACACCTACATCCATCATTCACTGTGAAGAGATCTCAACACCACACCTACATCCATCATTCATTCGCTGTGAAGAGATCTCAACACCACACCTACATCCATCATTCGCTGTGAAGAGATCTCAACACCACACCTACATCCATCATTCACTGTGAAGAGATCTCAACACCACACCTACATCCATCATTCGCTGTGAAGAGATCTCAACACCACACCTACATCCATCATTCACTGTGAAGAGATCTCAACACCACACCTACATCCATCATTCGCTGTGAAGAGATCTCAACACCACACCTACATCCATCATTCAAGCTGTAAAGATCTCAGACCACCTACTCAACATCCATCACCTGACATCCATCATTCCATCATTCTGTGAAGAGATCTCAACACCACACCTACATCCATCATTCAGCTGTGAAGAGATCTCAACACCACACCTACATCCATCATTCAGCTGTGAAGAGATCTCAACACCACACCTACATCCATCATTCGCTGTGAAGAGATCTCAACACCACACCTACATCCATCATTCGCTGTGAAGAGATCTCAACACCACACCTACATCCATCATTCAACAATGAAGAGATCTCAACACCACACCTACATCCATCATTCGCTGTGAAGAGATCTCAACACCACACCTACATCCATCATTCGCTGTGAAGAGATCTCAACACCACACCTACATCCATCATTCGCTGTGAAGAGATCTCAACACCACACCTACATCCATCATTCCTACATCCATCTGTAAAGAGATCTCAACACCACACCTACATCCATCATTAAGCTGTGAAGAGATCTCAACACCACACCTACATCCATCATTCGCTGTGAAGAGATCTCAACACCACACCTACATCCATCATTCGCTGTGAGAGATCTCAACACCACACCTACATCCATCATTCATTCTGTGAAGAGATCTCAACACCACACCTACATCCATCATTCACTGTGAAGAGATCTCAACACCACACCTACATCCATCATTCACTGTGAAAGAGATCTCAACACCACACCTACATCCATCATTCATTTCACTGTGAAGAGATCTCAACACCACACCTACATCCATCATTTCACAGAAGAGATCTCAACACCACACCTACATCCATCATTCAACAGTGAAGAGATCTCAACACCACACCTACATCCATCATTCGGCTGTGAAGAGATCTCAACACCACACCTACATCCATCATTCGTGAAGAGATCTCAACACCACACCTACATCCATCATTTGCTGTGAAGAGATCTCAACACCACACCTACATCCATCATTCACTGTGAAGAGATCTCAACACCACACCTACATCCATCATTCACTGTGAAGAGATCTCAACACCACACTACATCCATCATTAATGTGAAGAGATCTCTCAACACCTACATCACCTACATCCATCATTAAGCTGTGAAGGATCTCAACACACCACACCTACATCCATCATTCGTTCTGTGAAGAGATCTCAACACCACACCTACATCCATCATTCGCTGTGAAGAGATCTCAACACCACACCTACATCCATCATTCACTGTGAAGAGATCTCAACACCACACCTACATCCATCATTCGCACTGTGAAGAGATCTCAACACCACACCTACATCCATCATTCGCTGTGAAGAGATCTCAAACACCACACCTACATCCATCATTTAACAAGAGATCTCAACACCACACCTACATCCATCATTCGCTGTGAAGAGATCTCAACACCACACCTACATCCATCATTCGCTGTGAAGAGATCTCAACACCACACCTACATCCATCATTACATCTGTGAAGAGATCTCAACACCACCACCTACATCCATCATTTGGCTGTGAAGAGATCTCAACACCACACCTACATCCATCATTCAGCTGTGAAGAGATCTCAACACCACACCTACATCCATCATTCATCCATCTGTGAAGAGATCTCAACACCACACCTACATCCATCATTCACTGTGAAGAGATCTCAACACCTACATCCATCATTTGCTGTGAAGAGATCTCCACACACCTACATCCATCATTCAACGTGAGAGATCTCAACACCACACCTACATCCATCATTTGCTGTGAAGAGATCTCAACACCACACCTACATCCATCATTCGCTGTGAAGAGATCTCAACACCACACCTCCATCATCCATCATTCAACACACATCCATCCATCGCTGTGAGAGATCTCAACACACCTACATCCATCATTAAGCTGTGAAGAGATCTCAACACCACCCATACATCCATCATTCGGCTGTGAAGAGATCTCAACACCACACCTACATCCATCATTCAACGTGAAGAGATCTCAACACCACACCTACATCCATCATTCGCTGTGAAGAGATCTCAACACCACACCTACATCCATCATACACTGTGAAGAGATCTCAACACCACACCTACATCCATCATTTGCTGTGAAGAGATCTCAACACCACAGCTACATCCATCATTCGCTGTGAAGAGATCTCAACACCACACCTACATCCATCATTCGCTGTGAAGAGATCTCAACACACCTACACCCATCATTCGCTGTGAAGAGATCTTAACACCACACCTACATCCATCATTCGCTGTGAAGAGATCTCAACACCACACCTACATCCATCATTCGCTGTGAAGAGATCTCATCACACCTACATCCATCATTCGCTGTGAAGAGATCTCAACAACACACCTACATCCATCATTTGCTGTGAAGAGATCTCAACACCACACCTACATCCATCATTCGCTATGAAGAGATCTCAACATCACACCTACATCCATCATTCGCTGTGAAGAGATCTCAACATCACACTCAATCAGTATTTTCACGGTTTTTCTCTTATGAAGACTGAGCACACAATGATTGGTTTTATCTCTTCATTTACGTTGTTGTTATGCAAATAATGACCTGTATCGGTGACATTTGTGTAACATCGTGTAGTGGAGAACCAAACTGAACTTGCTGGTGTATTATTCTTTACAATCAATAACATTTGCCGATCTGCCCAAACCACTTTAGTTTGCATTTTCCACCAATCCCTGTATTTTATATATTGCGAACAAAAAAGGGTCAAGTTTATGAATATTTCAGGGAATCTATACGTAGATAAACAAATAAAGGAACACAGGAAAATTCAAGTGTTCCTTTAAAATTTTCTAGTTTTCATCACTAGGTTTGAATAGCGCTGTGGTGATGAAAACTGGAAAACAATAAAGGAACGCTTGAATCTTCCTGTGTTCCTTTATTTGTTTCTTGACGTATATTTATGAATCAATGAACAACCCTGACATTATACATCTAGCAAAGAAAAGACTATAGAAAACAGAACAATGTGTACAAGAGAATGCCAGTGCACACAAAAAGCTGCCAAACGCTTTTAGTCAACGTTAAGATACTGAACAACAGATGGCACATTTGAATACAAGTGGGCATGTATAGTTCCATGAAAACCAGATAGTGTCAGTTGTGTGAATTAATAGCACACGGTGATAACTGAAGCCCCCCCCACTACTTGAAGCTTCCTCCTCCATAACGGTCGGCCAAGGACACAGCAGTTAGAGAAACCCTCATTACATCAATCCCAAACTGAAGCAGTCATTGGTATGAATGTTGGAAACTTGTTGACATTGAGGATGATGCCGACAAACTGTTAAGTGATGTGATCTGTGAATGACTGCAGCTGTTTGTTGCCGAAATGTAATGGTGCTGACTATTGGTTATGGGCAATCTAGTAATCACATATGACATTCTGTGTGCCTCACACTGCAGTTGACATTGATGTGGCCTGCAGCCTCACAGTGGCTACGTCTCTCTGAAGTGCCGTAAATCAAACAATGTTTACTGTCCTTTTCAGAGTCAAGAGACAACTGTTTGGTTTTTCCCATATATGATTGCTCATAAAGGATAGACTAAGGGGAAAATGCATACATTATGTGATTTGCTTTCGTGTATTGGATACCAGAACTATTCACTTGTTTCATAAACTGGTATACGGGATCTGGTTAAGTTTCGTCTGTTGAATACACGACTGTCAGATATAAGAACTGATGCCCTGCTTGTTATGTGTAGCCAGTGTTAACTCAGACTATAACGCACATGACTGGGGACCGTTCATAATTCAATCATGGCAAGGGGGAGGACGATGTTGGTGGAGGGGCATGTACAACTTGAATCACCCCCCCCCCCCCGAACACACACACACACACATAATTTGTATATACAAAACTGCTGACCCCTCAAAGTACGTGTACCAAATTGATGGAACCCAACCCCGCACTCCCCGACACCCAAGAACAAAATGGGTGACACCCCACCCACCCACACACCCCACCCACACACACCCACACCATCACAGTGACATATCCTGGGTACTATTCTCTCCAGTTTGAGAAATTTAGCATTGTCGCCAGCACTTAGACGTTTTCATTAGCCAACCTACCGTCAGCATTTGCACATTATCGACAATGTTGTAGGGTTTGTGAAACCACTCTGACATTACAGATATTTGTAAGATTTCATAAGAACCGAGTAGTAGTTTGGAGTTATTTCCCTTAGATGTCAGGCACTTCCGGGTTTGGGCTACTGGCAACATGTTAGTGGTATTGCCCAACTCTAAGCTTCGGAATTTTCCAGGATTAATGTAGCTGCGAAGAAGATGTCCAAAGTTATGACAGTTGATAAGGTGAATTTCATTGTAAGCTTACTATAGTCATAACGAAAACGTGTAGCAGAAATAAGGTCAACTCGATTCTACTTGAAATGTTAGATCTAAATATTCAGAAGGGAACCCTTCAACTTTTGGAATAATGTCTTCTGACAATTCAGAGTCAGACCACTGCTGATATTTTCCTGAAATAGGAAGGCAATATAGTGACACAAATAGAATCAATAGGTGACAGTATTAATGATGGTCGAAATACGGTCATAAAAGTTGAATGTTACCTAATAAATAAATTGTTTTACCTTTGGTGACATTTTTATCCTGGCGAAAAGGTTGGTTTTTTGGCCAGTTGTTATCAATGAATTTGTGCTGTTGTAGCCACCACCCATATCGAGTATACTGAAATCGGTGCTAAAATGATTTTTGGTTATATAACAGAGATATACTTGACTTGCAGACCAGATAATAAATGAGATATTTTACAGAATCAAAATGTTATGAACCTACATTTTTAGGAAGTCCTAAAACTTTTTAGTCCTATTTGCAAAGGATGGAAATTTCTATAAAACAATTTTATCAGGGTTTTCAGTGGCATTTTTCTCTGCAGGTCATTTGGGCTGGTAGCAAATGAAAATAACAGTGAAGGCTAAAATGATATAATAGATCTAAAACTTTGTATAGCACCTTGGACAAAGAAATCAACCTTTGGGTGCCTATTTTAATAGTGAAAGCAAATAGTATGAAGTTACAACATATCCTGACTTTTGATAACAGCCCAACACACATGTAGTCTACAGCTGTGGTATCACATTGCAGCGAAAGTAATTGATGGGAATCCATGATGTGGGCATAGGACCATCTTCAAGTCTGTGTCACTTCCCTGTCTTTCTGGATAGGTTGAACAGTATCTGTAATGTGTGATATTGTAATTGTAGACATATCTGCGTTGGCTACCTCTTCTGTGTCTCCTCATCCCTCCTGCCAAGGCTGCCGCTGTATCAGGTAACATACCTCTGTGTCTCCTAATCCCTCCTACCTAGACAGCTGCAGTGTCAGGTAACATGCCTCTGTGTCTCCTCATCCCTCCTACCTAGACAGATGCTGTATCAGGTAACATACCTCTGTGTCTCCTCATCCCTCCTACCTAGACAGCTGCTGTATCAGGTAACATACTTCTGTGTCTCCTCATCCCTCCTACCTAGACAGCTGCAGTGTCAGGTAACATGCCTCTGTGTCTCCTCATCCCTCCTACCTAGACAGCTGCTGTATCAGGTAACATACCTCTGTGTCTCCTAATCCCTCCTACCTAGACAGCTGCAGTGTCAGGTAACATGCCTCTGTGTCTCCTCATCCCTCCTACCTAGACAGCTGCTGTATCAGGTAACATACCTCTGTGTCTCCTCATCCCTCCTACCTAGACAGCTGCTGTATCAGGTAACATGCCTTTGTGTCTCCTCATCCCGTCTACCTAGACAGCTGCTGTATCAGGTAACATGCCTCTGTGTCTCCTCATCCCTCCTACCTAGACAGCTGCTGTATCAGGTAACATGCCTCTGTGTCTCCTCATCCCTCCTACCTAGACAGCTGCTGTATCAGGTAACATGCCTCTGTGTCTCCTCATCCCTCCTACCTAGACAGCTGCTGTATCAGGTAACATGCCTCTGTGTCTCCTCATCCCTCCTACCTAGACAGCTGCTGTATCAGGTAAGATGCCTTTGTGTCTCCTCATCCCTCCTACCTAGACAGCTGCTGTATCAGGTAACATACCTCTGTGTCTCCTCATCCCTCCTACCTAGACAGCTGCTGTATCAGGTAACATGCCTCTGTGTCTCCTCATCCCTCCTACCTAGACAGCTGCGGTGTCGAGGTAACATGCCTCTGTGTCTCCTCATTCCTCCTACCTAGACATCTGCTGTATCAGGTAACATACCTCTGTGTCTCCTCATCCCTCCTACCTAGACAGCTGCTGTATCAGGTAACATGCCTTTGTGTCTCCTCATCCCTCCTACCTAGACAGCTGCTGTATCAGGTAACATGCCTTTGTGTCTCCTCATCCCTCCTACCTAGACAGCTGCTGTATCAGGTAACATGCCTCTGTGTCTCCTCATCCCTCCTACCTAGACAGCTGCTGTATCAGGTAACACACCTCTGTGTCTCCTAATCCCTCCTACCTAGACAGCTGCAGTGTCAGGTAACATGCCTCTGTGTCTCCTCATCCCTCCTACCTAGACAGCTGCTGTATCAGGTAACATACCTCTGTGTCTCCTCATCCCTCCTACCTAGACAGCTGCTGTATCAGGTAACATGCCTTTGTGTCTCCCTCATCCCTCCTACCTAGACAGCTGCTGTATCAGGTAACATGCCTCTGTGTCTCCTCATCCCTCCTACCTAGACAGCTGCTGTATCAGGTAACATGCCTCTGTGTCTCCTCATCCCTCCTACCTAGACAGCTGCTGTATCAGGTAACATGCCTCTGTGTCTCCTCATCCCTCCTACCTAGACAGCTGCTGTATCAGGTAACATGCCTCTGTGTCTCCTCATCCCTCCTACCTAGACAGCTGCTGTATCAGGTAACATGCCTCTGTGTCTCCTCATCCCTCCTACCTAGACAGCTGCTGTATCAGGTAACATACCTCTGTGTCTCCTCATCCCTCCTACCTAGACAGCTGCTGTATCAGGTAACATGCCTCTGTGTCTCCTCATCCCTCCTACCTAGACAGCTGCTGTATCAGGTAACATGCCTCTGTGTCTCCTCATCCCTCCTACCTAGACAGCTGCTGTATCAGGTAACATGCCTCTGTGTCTCCTCATCCCTCCTACCTAGACAGCTGCTGTATCAGGTAACATGGTGTCTCCTCATCCCTCCTACCTAGACAGCTGCTGTATCAGGTAACATGCCTGTGTCTCTCCTCATCCCTCCCCTACCTAGACAGCTGCTGTATCAGGTAACATGCCTCTGTGTCTCCTCATCCCTCCTACCTAGACAGCTGCTGTATCAGGTAAGATGCCTTTGTGTCTCCTCATCCCTCCTACCTAGACAGCTGCTGTATCAGGTAACATACCTCTGTGTCTCCTCATCCCTCCTACCTAGACAGCTGCTGTATCAGGTAACATGCCTCTGTGTCTCCTCATCCCTCCTACCTAGACAGCTGCTGTATCAGGTAACATGCCTCTGTGTCTCCTCATCCCTCCCACCTACCTAGACAGCTGCTGTATCAGGTAACATACCTCTGTGTCTCCTCATCCCTCCCTACCTAGACAGCTGCTGTATCAGGTAACATGCCTCTGTGTCTCCTCATCCCTCCTACCTAGACAGCTGCTGTATCAGGTAACATGCCTCTGTGTCTCCTCATCCCTCCTACCTAGACAGCTGCTGTATCAGGTAACATACCTCTGTGTCTCCTCATCCCTCCTACCTAGACAGCTGCAGTGTCAGGTAACATGCCTCTGTGTCTCCTCATCCCTCCTACCTAGACAGCTGCTGTATCAGGTAACATACCTCTGTGTCTCCTCATCCCTCCTACCTAGACAGCTGCAGTGTCAGGTAACATACCTCTGTGTCTCCTCATCCCTCCTACCTAGACAGCTGCAGTGTCAGGTAACATACCTCTGTGTCTCCTCATCCCTCCTACCTAGACAGCTGCAGTGTCAGGTAACATACCTCTGTGTCTCCTCATCCCTCCAACCTAAACAGCTGCTGTATCAGGTAGGGGTGCAACCATGCAGGTGGGCCACGATACGATACGTATCTCGATACTGCTGCCACGATTCGATACGAATCGCGATACACAAAATGAAAAGAATAACAAAATATAAGCATACAACTTTTATTTGAATTGAAAAAGAAATCTTCAATCAGAGTTAGTAAACTGTACCAAGTCTCTTGTACCTGAAAACAATTACTTTTGTTTTAAAATTAAAAGTAAACACTAAACAAAACTGTTACTTTAACAGCAGTCAGCTATTTGGATATTCTGAAATAAAGTTTGACACTTTCAAGGAGTCTGAAAATCTGACTAACACAACATTGTCAAACAGACAAATGGTTACATACTCTTTTTCAGTGTGCTTCATGCATCATAATTCTGTTACAATTACAGTTTCATATTTGTTTTTAGGAAAATCAGAACATCAACATTTTCAGCTGAAAGTGAAGCACGTTGAGCAGTGACAATATCCCCAGCTGAGGAAAATACTCTCTCGCTGGGGACTGAAGTAGCACACACTCCTTGGTACTGCTTCACAAGACGGGCAAGGGCTGGGAATTTGACTGCGTTCATCTTCCACCAAAGCAGGGGGTTTTCAGTTAATGGAATACATTCCTCAAGCTTGTATTTCTGCACCTCTTCCTCAATGGAAGCGGAAAGTGGCTTTGCCTCTTGCACATGAGTAATGAACACCTCCCCAAATATCTCCTCAATTGCACTTTTGGTTTTCTTAGGTTGTGATGGGCCTGGTGTCTCAGAGTCAGAAACAGAGTCTGAAGTGCAAGTCTGTGTCCCACCTGTCTCAGTGTCATGACACTCAGGGGGCTGACTGTCGGTTTGAGGCAATACAGGTGGGGGTGGGGGTGGGGGGTGGTCTGTGCTATCGCTTCATCTGTGGGATGACTCGGTTCCTCCTTCACTCTCAGTACTGGAGCCACTTCATCCTGAAAGAAGAATTATAACAGTTTAACCGACAGCTAAAATGTCTAAAGTGATATTTGAAATGTAGCATGATTAATTGATCATGATACACTGTTGAAACGTATTTACCATTCAGAATTTCAATCATTTTATGTAATAAAAATAATAAAATATTCAGAAACAAATAAAGATGAAGTTTTGTTGTTTGAAACACCTTTTTCTGTGGATTTTTTGTTTTAATTGTTTAAAGCATTAATTAATTACATTAACAGTATTTTAATTATTCAATTGTTGAACTGTTTATTTACCTTGTTTGCTTCTGCCATCTTGATCGCATTCATGGTCAGGGCACTGAATACAAGAAGCCGTTTAGCTTCATTGTGGTAGGGTAGTGATCGAAACCTGGGGTCAAGGGCAGTTGCTTCCTGTAGAAATTTGTTGATGTCAGGCTCCGTATATCTGGTCTTCAGATCTTTGACAATTGCCGACTTCACAGACTTGACAAGGCCAGAATCACTTTCAGTGACAGCCATGGATTTCAGAATAAGCTCTTTTAATGGTAGAATCAAGGAAACTGTGGGCACTTTCTGAACAGGGGATTGTTGTTATTGTCTTCAATGGTCGAAGAACATTTACCGCATCTTCTACTTCTTCTACTGAAGCATGTCGCAGCTCGAATTCCATCTCGTAGACACATCTTGGATCAGTTTGTGATCGGGCAATTCAAGAAGTAACTGTTTTGACCTGAGAACAGATGCAGCATGTGAGCTTCTGTGAAAGAATGAAACTATTCTTCTCACTCTCCCCAAAATTCTGGACATCTGCGGCACCTGCATGGCTTTTTGGCTTGCTATGCTAATTGTGTTCGCAAAGCACCTTATATTAGGTGCAAATCTCAACTGCTTTACAGCACTAACAATATTGCTAGCATTGTCTGTGCTAATGGCAATCTGAGAAAATTTGCCTAAGTTCCATTCGTCAACAGCTGATTCCAGGACATTAGCCAGGTTTGCCCCAGTGTGGCTCTCATGTAATGTTCGTGTTTGAAGTACCCGATTGTCAAGTTGCCAGTCTTCGTTAACATAGTGAGCGTGATGGTAATATAGCTCGGTGGAACATGAGGTCCAACCATCAGTAGTGACATCCATTGATGGCCTTACGAGCAATACTTTCCATCACACTTGATTTTACTTTCTTGTACATTTCAGGTATCACATAATTAAGTGAAGAGTGTTCTCGATGGGATTTCATATCTCGGTTCAAGTGTGTGGATGAGGTACTTGAAACCGATGTTCTCTACAACTGAATAAGATTAAGCATGTCCATCGCAATGAATGTACCAATTCCATTTGTTATTGCTTTAGCCCGTGTCGA